GTACCAAAATGTGGCTGTCTGGTTTGCCCACAAGTATCCGGGCATTTTTCTTGGCAGGCATGGATACCAGCGGCTGTTGGCATTTTGATTGTTGCCCTAACTAGTGTCTATTCTTTCTCTTCTGAAGATGGAAGAATACACTTGTGGTTAAATCACTGGCCTAGGGATTAGGCAAAGTGGTTCTGCTCAGATTTTAGTCTGCATCCTTGGCCAGGTCACTTAAGCAAGAATTTTGAGAAATGCTCAGCACCCACAAATGGGATCAAATTTTTCATAAGCTCTCTGCCTCCACTGAGGCAGTAGCCAGATGATCAAAGGAACTTCTTAGAAAATCTGTCTGCAAGTGTCATTGTGAGAGCTACTGGGTGCTGATCACTCATGAAAATCTTCTCATTGAGGTGCCCATATGGGAATCAAACTCTCCATCTAGCTCCCATCATGATGGGAAGACACTTGAGAATCTGGCCAGGAGCAACCTTTTGAAATGCTACACCAGCAACTTTCTATGTGCCTCAATTTCCTCTAAAACGAGAGTGATGTTGCCAGGGTGCTTGGAAGGATAAATTTATTAACCTGCTGTGTGTGAGGTTCTTGGATGCTTCTGAAGCCAGGAAAGGGAGGTGAAGCATTTGTAGCATAGTGTCTTTCCAGACATACCAATCATCTGTGTAAAATGGACTGTGTTAAAGTGACTGGAGCAAGAGTCCAGGAGTCAGCTTTGCTCTATGTTTGCTCTCTGCTCTAATTTACAATCCTTCAAGTTCAGGAGCTGCTGTTTTTTGTTTGTCTCAAACCCTTGATCATGAGTCAGGGCTTCACCATTCTAGGGGGTGTAACATACAGATAAAAGAATTCAGCCTTAAAAACCTTTGTGCTGAACAAAGCAGAGCCAGGAGAATACATTGTAAAGAAACAAATGATGAAGCTGTTCCATTCAGCTGTTTGCCTTCTCAACTCCCTGCCTGTTGAGTACAGTAGTTTTATAATTTTCTTTCCTCACATGGTATTTCTTTCCTCACATCCCACCCAAGTGTTTGGTATTTTTGGGGGGAGTTCTGAGGGTTTAGAATTTTTTCTGAGGGTTTAGAATTTTAATTTTACAGGACTGGTCACTCTTATACTAGATACCCATATACAGCAATACTTTTGCAGGTGGAGTTCTTGGATTTAAAGATTCAAGAACATTAAATTCATTTTTTTTTTTTTTTAACTTACAGTGGCTTCAGTTTTGACTCCAGATGTGGAAATCTGAAAGGTCCTGAACCTCCTGTAGTGTGTGCTGGAGCAGCCTTCCTTCTCTTTCTGAGCAGCCTTCCCTCACATGATGCGACGTTTTCTTCTTTCCAGCTGAGAGTGAAGCGCCACCCCCCCACCCCCCACCCCAAGGCCCCTTCATTTTTGGCCTTCCAGCACCACCAGCATCTGTGCGAGCTAATGCTGCCCAGATCCTGCTCCAAGGGCTGGCACGCAGAAGCGAAGCCCCAGCGCTGTGTCTCTGAAACCCAAGAAACATTAAATGCATTGTGTTTCCATAAATGCTCCTCAGCTAACTGAGCTGTGGGGAGTTTCTGCTCTCCTCAACCCTCACATCTCCTTTGGGAATGGGAGGCGCAGGTTGTGAGTGAGTTTTCTTTGTGCACTACCCCTGTGCAGGAATGGCGCTGACGTTGGAGTGTGAGGGAACCACAACCGCCACAGGAGGTGAGAGGTGCTCCAGGGCGAGGGGGCCCAGCCTGACTGACAGGGGCCCTGAGCCACGGCCATGCCTGGGCTGGCCCAGCCCTCACCACGGCTCGGTGAGGACAGGCTGTCACCATGGCTCGGTGAGGGTGAGATGTCACCAGGGCCCAGTGAGAGTGATCTGTCACCATGGCTCAGTGAGGATGAGCTGTCACCAGGGCCTAGTGAGGGTGAGATGTCACCAGGGCCCAGTGAGGGCGGGCTGTCACCATGGCGAGATGAGGGTAAGGTGTCACCACGGCCTGGTGAGGGAGAGCTGTCACCTCAGCCCGGTGAGGGTGAGATGTCACCACCCCACCGAACCATGGCAGCTTTCCTCAGGACCGTGTTACCTGCAGGTAATGGCCGTGGAGCAGGGTGGAGCCCTCAGGGTGCCCTGTGGTTTGGTTTTGTTTTAGAGTAGACTACAACGCCATTACAACTCAATCGCTGCTAAATGCAATCCGCTTGTTGCAAAGCATGGAACATGTAAAATTTTCTTAAGAAAGGATGTTCTTTAATGTTTAATCTTTGTATACTTTCAAGCCTAATCAACAAGAAGGGAGATTTAATCCACAAAACAGAGAACAGCTAACAAGCAAGTTCTAAGTGATGGCCAGGGGATAGAAAAACTAATTACTTGTTAGAATTGCCTTGTTAAGGCTTAGGCCTTGATGTTAAGGTTTAGGCCTTCACACGCTTCTGTCATCTTAGACCTGGGGCGAGGTTAACAAAGCTTGGGAAGGATGCCCACTGATAGTGGACACAAAGAATGCAGAATGTACAGAATGCAGACACAAACTCCTGCTATCTTGATAGCTTTTGGGCATTAGATACAACATTTCATGTTTTCCTGAAGCTCTCTCAATTTATAAGCAAAATATAATTTTGAGAGATAAAATAGAAATTTTGAGAGAGCAAAAATATTTCTCCTCATCATGTCTGGTGGCAGAGAAGGAGAAGCTGGAAGGAAGGGTTGCTGCACCCAAGCTGAGGTCAGTTATACTGAGTGCCCCCAGAAAGTGGCATGTTTCTTCCTCAGTCTCCTTCAGGTCTGTGGGGAATTGCAGGAACAGCTCTTGGTCTCAGCTGCAGTCATTGTTTTGAAGGGTAAGGCTGTGTGTATGTTGTGAATGCCCATCAGCCTAAAAATCCTGCTCTTGAAACGTGCTTGGCAAGTGGAGCATTGAAAATATAATAGGTTTCTGTTTACTTATTTTTTAAATACTTATTTTCATGAGATAAGCAGTTAGTAGAAAGTTCGAAGCACATGTAGCAGAGAAAATGCCTTTGAGCAGTCACAAATTGAATTTATTTTGCTTGCCAGTCCTTTTGTATTGAGCTCTTGACAATGTCTAGCATAGAAGTGATATGTGATGTTGAAAATAGGGTATTTCAAAGAATAATATAAAATATTCATTGTAAGTGAATTCTGAACTCAGTGAAAGGTAGTTTTTGTGCTTGAAATTTGAATCAAAGAGCTATCTTGTCCTGACTATGGAACACAAATATTCCATAAGAATTACATGCCAGAACTAACCACCACCACTTGGATTTTAGACACTGAGTATTTGCAGCTAGTTGCGTAAGAGCAATCTAAAATCGAAATGGAATGAAGGTGACATACCTGAGACAAATGAATTTCCTTTAAACTAAAATTTAAAAGCCATCTGATAATTCCATATCAGTGCATTAAAAAAAAAACTCCTGTAAATTACTCTTTAATCAAGTATGACGACTGAATGCTAAACATATAGTTTTCTGTATGAACAATGTTTTTAGCTGAGACTAGTAATGCCAGCTTAGGGAACAATCCTGAAACTGTGCTCCATGTTTCCTGATGTAATAAGTTAATGCTCAGATATCCAATAGATAATAATAGTCTGTCACAGTTCCCAAGCATAAAAGCTAAAAAATCATCCTTGCAGTGGCAGCTTGGACTGTACTGCATAGACATCCTGAATTTAGGTAGGATGGCTGAACTGAAGGACAGCAGGAATTCCCGTAACAGACACAGAATGTCCAACTATGGCACCACTTTCTTCCGTGGCAGACAGGAACTGCTGCTGTGTCTGCACCTGTAGGAACATCCGGCAGAACAGCCCGGAGCTTTCACTGCCTGGCTTTGCACGCACCCTGTGTGTGCAGCAGGAACTCAGTTCATCATTAACACCTCAGCCTTCATTGCAGCCTAGTTTCTGAGCTCTTCATCCATAAAGCAGGGATAGGATGGGACAGAATCCTTCCTGTTGTGAATTCACTTATGCAATTACTACTTAATAAATAGGCAGGGTAGCTCTTCTGAAATAACATTCAGTCTGTGATTACATATTAAAATACTGAGGCTTGTCCAGTAATCTACAGCAGCATATCACAAGGTGTACCCGCAATGAATGCAGTCTTGGAATATCTTCAGTTATAGCCAAATAATGATTACAGCCATTTTTGAAAGCATAGCTGGATTTTGCTAAGCTCTGCCCACCTTCAGCAAAAGTCTGTCCATTCACTGTAGGGCTTGTGTTCTGTTTCAGTGTTCTTTTTTTTTTTTACCCTGAGTTAAGCAGAACTTGGCTTTGATCCTTTAAATCCTTCTCCCTATCAACTCAGCAACCACAGAGGCAGTTTATTACTGAAAAGAAATCTAAGAATCAGTTTTGGCCAGCATTGTCTTGGAAAGTTCATTTTATTAACATGGTTTTGGTTTTATTTCAGAAACACTTTGACAAGCACTGACATTTTTGGAATCAGTAAAGCACAAGAGACTTACTCCTAAAGGCCTAAGCTTTGCATTTTTCTGCAGCAAACAATGTGACGTGCTACTATGGTAAATTCAATTCAAGCCCCTGACTGAAAAGAAATAAGTACTGAATGTTGTCTTTTTTTCCCCTTCATTTTCTAAAATATGTTAGTGCTTGTGAGATATACTTCCTTAACTGCTCTTTGCTTATCTGCTTTTCATCTATAGTGCAGGTGGCGGATCTATCAATGCTGGCAACATAAACTTTCCTCACACGCCTGCTTTTATTGCACAGCTTTGACCTAAAGCAACTACCTCATGACTTTTTGCTGAGATTTGCCAACAAGGGTCCCAGTTGTGTGTTTTACATTAATATCCATCAACTGAGAGTTCAACTAAGATCACCTACTTCATTTAAAAAGGAATACTAGGAAATATCTGAACCTTTTTTATTGTTGTTGTTGCTGTTTTTCTTTAAGGCAAGCTGAAAGAGAATTTCTGGTCTCCAAGAAATATAAATACTCTTGTTCTGATACTGTGCATTCACTGGAACTCCATGTGTAGTGGGAAGAATGGAAGGGCAGAACACAGGTGAGTTATGTGCTGACATAACCAGACTTGACTGCTAGATTTCGTTAGTGGTAAATTGATTATCTTTGGTTTGTGTGTCCTTGGGGCTGTGCCACCTTCCATTCTGTCCCTTTGAAAATTATATTGAGGGAGAGGCAAAGTAAGCATCCATTCCAGAACATATGTATATTACATACATGTGTTCTTCTCATGTAATAAGAGGGGGTTTTGTTAGAAACTTGTTAGAAACTCTTTCCAGAATTTTTTGTTGCAAAAATTGTCAAATGATTTGGTTGGAGTTCCCTATGCAAATCCACAGTGTGCTACTTTCAGAGTGAAGAATGCAGCAGTATGTCGGTCTGGAAAGAGTGGTTGCTTTTTTAGTTAGCAGGAAACATGTGCTGCAGATGTTTCAAAGCTCTGGCTTTTAATATACCTTTGATAGCTGCTATGTCAGGCTGTTAGTTTTGACTCATTCTCCCTTTAATGGGATAGCTTTAATACATCCTATGTATTGCCATGATAGATTCCTAGGAGCTGAAGTAAACTGGCATAGCTGATCCGGGAGTTTGCGACTTTTAGTGCTGTGAATATTTTTTTAAAACAAAATATCTTTCTTAAGTTTACAGTACTTTTTTTTTTTTATCTCAACTTTATTTCAAAGTGACTGCATAAATTCTATGCCCTGTTTCTTTCTCCAGTTGTGTAAACAGGTTATATAGGCCTTTTCCTACAGGAATGGAAAAGAAGTAGTTAGCTTCTTTTTCTATTTCGTTTTGTGGTGGGGTTTTTGTTAGTTTTGCTTTGGTGGGTTTTTTTTGTTTTGTTTTTTTAAGGTTGGAGTGTTCTTTTTGGTACCATTTACTCCTTACTTGCAAATGTGGAGTTCTCAGAAGCTGATATTTTGAAGTGTTACACTTCAGGATTGCCAAGAATATTTGTGCTAACAGCCCAAATGTCTCTAAAATGAGTGTAATGAGTGCACACACGCATTTGTCTTGAAGAGGTGGAAAAAGCAAGGTGTGGATGTGATGCAGAACAGAAGGATGCCCTAGCTGTGTAGAATTATGAATGGCACAGCTGCCAGCAAGCTTCTCATATCCAAAGTGGGAAGTTTCTTACCTACCAGGAAGTCCATATTATTTTTGAGTGCCCTCATGTTGAACTCAGTTTGCTTGTTGATGAGAACCCATAAAGAATGATGTCCACAGGCGTGCACAGACACCACAGTAATCAGTTCACCACAGGCTCACAGCACTGGGAATAGAACTTCAGACCTTTGCCTCCGCAAACACAGCTGCTCATCTGGCCTGGGCTTTGTATCCAGCAGAGGGAACTGATAAACACTCTCATAGGGCTGCTTTATGTGTTTTCCATAACCAAAAGAGGGCACTGATTCTCACTCCCTTCTGATAAGGGTCCACTTAATGTCACCCCTCAACACTTTCGCGTGCCATTTATAAGCAACAAACTTGTCCACTTAATGTCACCCCTCAACACTTTCACGTGCCACTTATAAGCAACAAACTTATATTTAGCTTACTTTTGCTATAAAATATGGACTTGCATTAAATTTTAATCACCTAAAGATGTCCCAAGACCATAGTGGTATTAATTCCCTGCAGTGCAATTATGAGACATTAAATTCATTACACATCAAGACAATTACAGAAAAACATCCAACATCTCAGTAGTGCAGGGAAAGCAACCATAATTGTTTACTGGTGACTACGGAGAAGAGGCACAGTTATTGCTCAAGACCAACAAAAAGCTCCAGAACCAGGACTCATCATTATCTTTCTGAACATACATACATTCACAACTTTTGCAGGGGGAAAGCCACAAAAAAGGCAACAACACTTGAATAAAACTCTAGAAAGTGTAAGTGGCAAAAATAAGGAACTTCTGTACAGTTAAGTACAACTATTTGCTAATTTTTTGAGAGGCAGAACAAACAAATGTTTTTGTCTTGTTCTTCACTACATTACCTCCATTGAATCATTGCTCTTTTAGAAATATGACAGTAGTGAAAACTAAAAATTATCTCCCTGTAGAAAGAAAGAACCCACAGCCTACAATAACTGGAAGGCAAAAGAAGGAAGGGAAAACATACAGATATATTTTAGCTTAAGAGATAAGACTTAACCTTACATCCCCTGAGATACATAGCAAGACATAGAAAAAGTGGGCAGAAAATTCTGCCATGCAAATATGCTCATAGACATATAAAAATTGTCTTCTGTGGCAGATAGTGAGATGACCATTAATGGCTCCTTTTCTAGTCCTCCAGTTACCTCTCACATGTCCATCACTTTTTCTATGAACAATGTATGCTTACCTGTAGTTTTTAAGTTAAGACTAAGAGGCAAGGCCTCCATTGCTAGGGTAATAATGCTGGAAATTGAGCACTGGAACGTGTTAAGTGAGGTGGGGTTTTTTGGGTTTTGGTTTTGGTGGGGTTTTGGGGGGGGGGTGGTTTTTTTTTTAATTTGGTTTTGTTGGTTTTGAGGGTTTTTTTGAAATGCAGTATTTACAAGGTCACAGGAGCAATTTTGAATCTGTTCCCTCATAAATTAACTTGACACTAAGAACTAGAGGCATAGGACAAAGCTGGTGGTTGGGGCTTTGGCTTTTGTTTGTCTGCTTGCTTGTTTGTTTGTTTGTTTAAATGGGTATGAAGTTTTATCATAGATGTTTATAGAAGTGGCACATGATAGTGAATGTAGAAAAGAAAGGAAGATCAATATTAATGTCCCCTACAAGATCCTTTCAATAATTTTGCTTAAGCCCTATAAGCTTCTCTTTGAACTCTTTACTGCTGCTGAGTTACCAAGACTGAGTTCTTACAGTCAGATGCTGCCCATCATTTCTGGTCCATGGCAGTGGATCTGTGCTTCCTCAGCCTGCCAAGACTGGGCTGGTCTCTTTTAACCATAGCGTGTAAGAAAGAGATGAGCGCTTGCTTATTTTTTTCATTGTTTATTTACACCCTCCAAGAATGATTTATTTGTAAGTCTTGTTAAGGGGTTTGTAAAGGCTTTCATAGGAAGTTTGAAAGTGTTAGGAATAAATTACCTCTCTCAAGATTTGTCACTGGAATTCTCCTTGCTGTTCAGCCCTAAAGAGTCAAAGACAGAGCAGCTACAAAGGGGTGGACTTCATAAGGCTGAATACAAAACGAAGTGTGGGATTAGTGCTGGCCTGGAAACCAGAGAAGCTAAATCTGACACTCTGCCATTAATTTTACTGTGACCTCGAGTAAAATATTTAATATATTTAGTGACAGCATGGCCAGAGGAAAACATAATCTCTCCCTACAGAGAGGTGTGAAAATAAATTCCTGAAGGTAAGAATTTCTCCCAAGCAGTGGTAGTGGCAGAACTATGCATAGATAAGCAGACAGTGATATGTTTATCCTCTGCTTCTATGTATCTAGTCTAGCACTTTAGACAGCACTGGGAGTTACACTAGTGGCTTAAGTAGATACTACTGCCCTAAATAAACACCTAAAAAAACAAAGTATAACTGCCAGGAGAAGTGGCTTAGCATCCCTGCTTAACACTTAACTGGTCTGTGGCTGAAAAAATGAATATAGTCTCTTTCCCTTTATTTTTTTTTAATGTTATGATCATTACTCAAAAAATCTGAATTCCTTGCTCTCCCAGTGATCCCCCCCTTTTTTTTCTTTAATTCAGGTTGCAGAATTACTACAAAAGTGCAGTATTTTTATTTTAATATCAGTGTGCTTTGATCTTGCAAAAGGGAGTTTCAGATGAGCACAGAAGTCAATAAATGCATTCCTAGACATTTGAGTTCTCTTGGAGACCTGCTGGATACAGTTTCCCTTCATCCCCTGCTGCAAAGTGATGCTAAGCTGAATTATCTACTCAGCCCAAGAGAGCAATTGCTCAGAGGAGATTCTGATCTAAATTAGTTGCATTCCTTTGAATAGAGTTTTCTTAATATGTCCTGAAATCCATTTTTCAAATGCCAAAACATTACATTTCACAGCAGACTTTAATAAAAGGTATTTTGCTAGATATACATTTCCTCTGGCAAATGCAATCTTTTTTTCCTCCATGAAATTTGCTCTATAAAAATTTTGATTTATCTGATAGACTAAAATTCTGTATGAACAAATTAGGCTTTATTTCCACACTGTAGACCTAAATTCTGTACGCATTGAACTTAAAATCACATATCTGTGTTTTGCAACAGGGGTGTTTTTTGGAAAGGAGAGGTTTGCTGTAAAAATCAGATGTTAACTAAGAAATAAAATTTTGTAGCTCAGAGTTAATGCCAGTTATGAGGAAAACCATTAGGCTCTTTTCCTGTCTTCTATGCACAATTTTTATTAATTACCTGGTTGCAACATAGTTGCGTAGTTTTACTGTAAGTTTGCTATAGAAAGCACTGTATTTTGGTTTTCGAATAGTTCCGTTTATTCGGGTTTTGGATTTTTGTTGTTTGGGTTTTTTAGAAAGATACTTATGTAATCTTGCAGGCAAATAGCTGAAGGCAGTGGTTTTTTCCCCACGAGTTAGAATAGATAACATAAAATCAGAAAAAATCTTAGATACGGTCTGCAGAAAAGGGTACTTGGAGCAGAGTTCTGCTGTTATACAGTGCTATAGCTTAAAATATTGCAGCTAATGTGAGTACAGTTATATATGGACATAATTATTTTCTAAAGAAGACTTTCTGTTTGTGAAAGACAAAAAAAGACTCAGTTTAGGAAGAGAATTAGACATTAAGAAGAAAATATCACTATTTAACTGAAGAATGTATTATGTATTTACAGACAGTGTTCTTCTTTCTTTTGGAAGCTCATACTTTCTCTCCTCTCTGAGCACTGTAGAGAGGCACTGTAGGATTAGGATTTCTGTGATGGAATTTCTTTAAACAGGTGACTGTGTGTTAAAAGTGCACTGACTCACACAATGTGAAAAACTGCTACTGGTCACTAATAGATTCATCTCTGGGAGGATGGACAGATCCATGGATGGGAAAGCAAATACAGTTTTGAAACCACTTTAAAATGTTTTTACTGTTCAGTAGCTGTCTCTGAGGCACTGAACTATTCCTTCCTCTAATGCTAGAAATGCCTATGTAGGAAAACTGCAGATAAAATATAAACAAGCTGATTTAAAAGTTTCATAGAGACACAAGGTCTGTTGTTCCAAGAAACAGAACTTTGCTTGTAGAATATCTACTTTAAGCATATTTGGTACAGGATAATTAATTCCATCAGTCTTATTACTGTGCTTCTGTGAGGGTTTAAGTTCCATCACACTTTTATTAAAGGCAATGAAACCTTTGAAGGTGCACTTCAATCCCAAGATTGTCTCAGTCTGGCTAGTAAATGATATTAGCAATAAAACCCAGTTCCTTCCTTAAATTAGCACTAAGCATTTTTTTTCCTAAGACAGAATTTAAGGAAGCTTTACAGTTACTTTTTTTTCATAACTTTGACTGGACTGAGAAGGAGACTATTAAGAGGGATAATAAATTGTTATAATTGGTCTGGGTATACTAATCTCTTCAAAATCAATCAGAAAGAGAAAGAAGACCTTTTCTCAGCCACAGTGTTTCCCAGCAAGGTCTGTTTTTATTTCACTGCTAAAACAACAGACTGTTACTAACTTAAATGTCAGATGACACTACATCTGAAAAAAAAAAAAAAAAAGGCGGGGGGAGCCAGCACCACCCAGCAAGGCAGTGCTAGAGTTCACATTAAGACTTCCTCACAATAGCTGGTTAGAACAGAAACCTGAAGTAGCAGTAATCTTACCTTGAGTACACAAGATCCAAGGAGAGAAGATCACTGGCTCGAAACAGTGGAGGACTGAGAAAGTGCTCTGATCTGCTGCTGGTAGCATGCACTTGGCTTTTATGTGCAGGTGGGAGGAGCTGCTCCCTACGGTAGGTGGGCAGAGAGGATAGCAGGCAGACAGCCTTCAGAAGGCATTGTAGAGTTTTTGCTCTTTGGGGACAGAAAGAGGGAGGATAAGCAAGCTGGATGGCATATACATGAGAAATAGTGTTGGATTTATTTTGCTTTGTTTTTTCTGTAAATCTGTAGTTAACTAAAGATTTTCTAAATCTGAATCTCTGAATTATTCCAGTTGCAGTTACAATGCTACTAGGTCTCACTTCTTCTATTGGAATGATTTTTGTGGCAGTGAGATACTAATGCAAAGTCTTTATTAGAAAGGTCAGTGTTTCCCTTTCTGAAAAAGGATAGCTATGAGGAATCAGCCCCTTGATCTTTGAAGTTGTCTATTTTCTCAAGGATTGAACTTCCTTTATATTCCAAACGTCTACTAGATTTCAGCTCTGGAACCCTACTAAGTTTCTGTTTTGCTGAGCTACACAGCTTTTTCTTGACTCAAGCTGTAACATGTTCCATCTACACACTGACTTTCTAACAGTTTAGAGCAGTTTTATTGTTCACTGTGTCTGAGTTCTAAACAATTTCCCCAGCTGGTATTCTCAAAAGGCAAATGTAGCCTAAAAGACAAACCAGTAAGAATATGCATTCCTGGTGGTTTCTGTGTAAAATCATTCATTGTTAATTTTAACTCATTCATTGCTTTCCACTAAGAAGAGTGGATGGCACAGATTCCAGACACTGGCTCCTGCAGGTGAAACAGTTGTACCCATCTCAAATACACTAATTTTCTATTCATGTATCTTCCTGCATGAGGCATCTGGGCCTGTATTATTTTCCATAATACACAAGTAAAAACCTGTGTCATATTGGAACATATAATGGGTGGAGAAAGCTGCAAACATAAAAGAGGAACAGTAGTGTGTAATTAAGGGAAAGTCTAGAGGTACATCCTGACTTAAAATCTGGGAAGGACCAGGTAAAAAATGAGTTAGTATCTTAGTTACAGATTTGAGATACGTTTGTAGCAGAGCTTGTGGAGATGAGATAGGGTATCTACTACTTCTTTTGCAGAAGGGCCAATCTGATCAGAGGTTCTAAGATACTTTTTTTTAAAAAAAGGCAGTACTGAGTGAATTGATCAGAGCATAGTGAGTTGCATACAACTTTATTTAGTCTTGTCTTTTTAGAAAAAGGCTTATAAATCAAGCACCCATCAACTTGGATGACAGTGTTATGTGGCAAAAAAAGTTGCATAACCCTGGTGATGTAGCCTCTGAGATTTGGAATTGTCAAGTTGAAAAGGACTGGTTTAATTGCTAGTATTTCTCACAGGTATTGATTTACTGTTGGTTAGGGGATTTTCTACATTATTGCAACTAATTGGGAAAATAATTAATGTTATTTTGTTATTTCTGCAGCACTCAAAGTATTTTTGCAATTCTCATTAAGAAATGAGTTTTTCTGCTGTGAAGAGATTACAGTGTGCTTTTGGGAAGGCTACACAAAGTAATTATAACATGGGAATAGGGAAAGAAAGGGTACAACTTACTGCAATAAGTTTATGTCATTAGTTCATTTAGGGCACTTAGTAAACCTAGATTGAACCTAGTTGTTCAAATGACTAAAGGATACACATAAAGCAGAATTCTACTCAGCTAGCATCTAAATAATCAGATGATTTTGTACTTAGACAAATCAAGGTTGAGATTTTCAGAAATTCATGTACCCACGTCCTTATTTGATGGTTAAACTGCTCTGCTGTATCAAAATTGCTGAGCTTTCTGTAAGTCCCTTCAAAAATCAGTGGATACTTCTATAAACTCAATACCGTCAAGAGATCAAGTTCTGTTTTTTATTTTTTTGGGAACAAATGTTTGAATGTGAAAGACTAGCTGTATGTTGGTATATTTTTTTGCTTGTTTTTTTAACTCCTGACCATAAACTGCAGGTGCTAAGCACCACTTCAGTTCTCAGAAGTGAGTCAATACTCTTCCCTACTGTATGGGTTGTGTACACTGATCACATGTCCTACTATACTGCAGACTCAAGGATGACCTTACCTTTTAATACTTCTAGAAGAGAATAATTAAAATTTTTTATTTTGTTCCTTTCTTCGAGGAATCTTAAAGCACTTAACAAGTGTTAAATAGACCTACCAATACATAACATAGATAAAAAGTATTAGACCTATATTAATAATTATTAAAGGACCATCATGATGCAATTATATGGAAGATTACCTGATGAGGTTACAACATTATGCAGAGACTTCATAGAATTATTAATATTCATTCCCTGAGTTGGAAGTGACTCACAAGGATCATCAAAGACCAACTCCTGGCTCTGGACAGGGCACGCCAAGAATTACACCATGTGCCTGAGAGCATTGACCAAACACTTTCTGAATTCTGCCAGGCTTGGTGCTGTGACCACTTCTCTGGGAAGCCTGTGGCAGTGTCCAACCACCCTCTGGGCAAAGAACATTTTCCTGATATCCAGCCTAAACCTCCCCTGACACAGCTTTAGGTCATTCTCTCAAGTCCTGTCACTGGTCACCACAGAGAAGAGACTGGTTCCTTCCCCTGCACATCCCTTGTGAGAAAACTCCTCTTACTCTTCTCCAGGCTGAACAGACCAAGTGATCTTAGCCCCTCCTCATACAGTTTCCCCTCAAGACCCTTCTCCATCTTCATTGCCCTCCCCTGGAAGCTCTTTAACAGGTTTATATCCTTCTTGTATTGTGGCACCCAGAACTGCCCCCAGCACTCGAGGTGAGGCTGCCCCAGCTCAGAGCAGAGCAGGACAATCCCTCCCTTGCCCGCCTGTGATGTTGTGCCTGATGCCTCCCAGGACAGGGTTGCCCTTCCTGGCTCCAGGGCAGTGCTGACTCAGGTTCAACTTTCCACTGACCAGGACCACAGGGATCCCTTTTCAGGGCTGCTTTCCAACATCTTGTTCCTCAATCTGTATACACACCCATGGTTGCTCTGTCCCGGGACCTGTGGGTTTCTGGTCACTGCAACACTTATCTTCCCTAAGGAGACTTTTAGTAGATGAAACTTTACTAAAATATCCGTGGGAAACTTGAATTAGGTCATCATATGATCAACTGGATTTCAGGGCACACTGCCAGGCTGGACAGTAAATTCAATATGGACACTTGGCAGAAAGTGTCTATCCTATCACCAGGAGTGATGTCCAAACTTTCATTTTCCATCTGCCTTTTTAAAATAAAGTTATTTTTTCAATAAGACCCTCCAGTGCTCTAGCCCTTCTACTCCATTCTTGCCTCAAAATATCTAGATTGGTTTGCCATGAGCTTCAAAGAATTTTTTGAGGCAGCCTGTCCTTTCCAAAATCTGTATCAGGTACTTGCTTTACTTGATGGTAGGGCTATACCCATAGTGCAGAACAGAACTGCTAGTAAGGAAATCGATGTAATGAAGTACTTAAACTTGGATAGATGGATTTATCACACTTTTGAGAACAATGCAAATTTTATTTTCAATGAATTTTATTTTCTATAAATTTATTTAGTAGTAGAGTCTTCTATTAAAATAGTTTTGGCATAAAAAGTTTTGGCAAAGAGCAGAGGTGGCATCATCCTTAAGAAATAGTTTAAAACTGTAGCTGTACAACTGACATACATTTCACTCTAGGTCTTCTAAAAGGAGATAAGCCAAAATTCCTGCATTTGTTCCATAAAGGAATTGACTACTCCCAGTTTGCCCTGAATGTGACAGAGCTAAAATAATGTGACCTAATGTGTTGGTAGTGGAAAGAATAACTATGGATAGACTGGGAGGCTGAACCTTTGGAAAGAAATTACACTTTACATAGCATCACAGCAGTAGCTCGGGTAGGTGGCTACTTTATCAAGGAGGCCTTTATATTATCAAAGGAGGAGAGTCCCCAGACAGTTGGATAGCATGGTGATGGCAGAAGATTAGCTATCAAGATGAAGGTGTCAATGTTGTTTTTAAACCCAAGCCAAAAAATATTAGAAGGAGACCTCCTAACATAAAGTGGGGTAACACAGGCAATAGCAGCCAAATTTCAACTATAAATGTAAAAAAATCATTATTCAGGAAAGGGGAAAACATTTCAGGGTTTGTTTTGATGGGTTTTAATAGAAAAATATTCTGAACAGCCTACAGGTAAATTTCTGTTGCCCTATGCAACCCTCATGTAAATATATTCTTCTTTTCATCATATTTGGCTATAGGACCCCAGACACCAACAATGTCTCAATTTCACCAGTGGTATATTTTATTAACCTGTGGTTTCAGGCAACATTCTGTCTTCTGTCATGCTTCCCATCATTGTAAGTTTTATTCAAAGACTTTCCAGCAAGTTTGCCTTTTAAAGAATTAAATGTGACAGTATTGCAATTTTTATAGAGTATTGTTGGCTGGGGTTTTTTTTAATAGTAGATTCATAAACTTAGAGGGTAGAGTAATGGGAGAGAGCGAACAGTTCTCAAAGTTTTCTCTGCAGGATACTGACAATCTGTCTGATATTGCCTTTCACATTTGTATCTGTAGATTAATCCCAGTCGGGTGGTCTGGCTACAAAAACACTGTATGCCATCCAGTGTAGGATACAAAATCAGGATAAATTTTGAAAATGCAGATCTTGCATTGTAGACGAGCATAGATCCAGGGCCTGACTGCCTGTGGAGAAAGCACATGTCTACCTCAAACAATGTTTGCCCCAGTATTACAAGGTTCATTCTTTAGCACGTCACCTGATAGAGGCAGAATTGAAAAAAGAATTGATACAGAACATTCTGCATCTCTAACTAATGCCATATTGTATGTCTTGACTGCATTGATTCTGTTATGTCCACCAGTGGAAAGGGAATGCAGTCCAAAGCTGTTAGTATCAATTCAATCAATCCAGCCTACAAATGCATCATTTAGCTCTTATATTTACTGAATTCCTTTATCTGTGTGTCAGCTCTGGAATTTCCACTGAGATTCTCTAGCTGATGTTGATGCTTGCCATACCAAAACGGAAAAAAAGATAACATTTTTTTTTCATGGAGCAACTCTCTGCAGTGTTAACTTGAAGACTGTCAGTTTTTCTGGAAGGTGTATGATACAGCATTAGCCCAATTGAACATATAAAATCTGTGAGCTCACTG